ATAAGAGAACAAATACAATGATAAATTCCTAGGGGGTCGAGGGGAGGAAAGTCTCAAGGGCAGCTTTTAGCTCCAACCACTTCGCTTTGCCCAAAATTATCTCAGCCTGCCTCGTCTTTTTATTGTACTGAAGCTGCTGGATATGCCGTACGCCGGCCGCGAAGGCCGTCAGCCGAGCCCTGTTGGCCTCGAAGTTCTTCTCAAGCTCGGAAGCAGCAGCAGACCTTTGCCGTTGAAGGTCAGAAAGTTGACGTTGGAGGTCAGAGATCTGGCGATCAAACTCGGTCAGCTTCGCTTTCCTGGCTTTGATTGCCTCTATCTTAGCTCGGCCGGCCTCTTGCGCGACCTTGGCAACCTTCAGGTCATCCTCGACTTGTAGGGCTCGCTCGAAGATGTGGAAGTGTTGCCGAGTCCGCTCCAAGAGGTCGGTGAGGAAGGAGATATTCCCGTGCTTAGGTAACCGCCGCTGGCAAGGTCATTAAGACACTCCCCAACGGAGTCAAGACCCTTGGATCGGAGAGCTTGGGAGGCAGTGAGAGACAGGACTTCGTGCAGCTTCACGAAGGCTTCGGCCTCGGGCATGGCTCCCGCTGGTTCGACAGAAGCAGCAGAGGAGCCGGCCTCACCGGTCGTGCTCTGAAGAAGAGCGTCGAGCTCCACTTCCCATGATAGCTGCACATGAAAGGAAAACTTTGTGAAGGAAAGTAAGACGTCGTGATATAGTGCATGACAAAAATGGATTATTTTAGACCTGCCGAGAAGAGACTTCGGCCATGCCCTCTGGGTCATTGCTCGAACCTAGGGAACTTAATGGCCGAGCCCAGTGCCTTAGACCGCTTCGCAATTCACGCGGCCGATGGAGGTCATCTACATTTGATGGCCACGATGGTGGCCAGGAAATATAGACAACGCCCGTCGGCGCATAAAATTGTCGGTGAAATGAACGTTCGGGCACCTGACATTTAATAGTCTTTTAAGAACATGCGTCATGAGAAAATCAACGCAAAAGAAACAAGACTTACAAAGGCCGAGGAGGATCGGCGTTTCAGCCGTGGCCTTATGATCGACCATAGGTCTCTTGCCGCAATCCGCCGCAGAAGGACACGGTCGAGCGGTCGCCTCGACGATCGGAGGAGGATGGACGGGAGGAGAGTTGACTGGTCGACGACGGCGTTCCAGCGGGACTTCGTCGCTCTCGCTCTCGACATCCTGAACAAAAAGAAAAACATTTTGCGTTACGACTAGAAACCTAAAGAAACAAGAGTGGAAGTAGAATTATACCTCTTCCAGAATGACCGTTGGAGTAGAGGGTGCCTCGACAGGTGCAGCCGACTTCCCCACGGTAGGCGCCACGACCAGCTCTGGAGCTGGAGCTGATGTGACGATTGGATCGGCCGTGGTCTTAGGAAGGGAGACGGCTGGAGGAATCGGGTTTGGAGAAGCCGGGGCAGCCGGTACAGAAGGAGAGTCGGCAGGAGCAGGCGTCCTTGTAGTGTCACTGGGGACGACATGAATCTCCCGGTCGCCCTTCTTCGCCAATTTCTTGACGCGTTTAGAAGGGCGAGGAGCATCATCCTCCGGCTCGGCCTCTCGATGAGGGCGTTTGGCGGGGGTTGTCCACTCGGTGGCGATGGTCCTCTTCGTGGAGACCAACTTCTTCGCCCTCGCCACCGCGGTGACCATTTCAACCTTCCTCGACACGCGACCCCCTGAAATAGCAAAGTAATTAATAACAAGGACAAGTGATATAACAAAAAAAAAATAGAGCGGAAAGACTATACCTTGGGCCGACTCCTTAGGTTGGGCCGAGGGCGCTAGTCTGGGACGGTCGCCGAAGATTTTGTTCACCATGTCTTCGGCCGGGACGCCGAAGAAGTCACTGGTGTACTCCTCCCACCAGTCCCCGAAGGTGTCGGTTCCCAAATATTCAGGAATCGTCGGCCGGAGCCGGAATTTCTTGCATTTCTCCTGAAACTCCTGCTCCGACGTCTTACATTCCCTTTCAGAGGAACCGGAAAGACGCCCTCGACTCAGGAGAGACCGAGAGGCAAGTAGGGGGACGGGGCAGCCTTGAAGGTAGCCGAGCTGCCGGGCGACAAAATGGGGGTGATAGACCTCCCAGCTGGCTCGGCGGGCGTCGCAACCAAGAGGAAGATCGCGAGCCAAAACAAAAGACCCCCAGCATTGACGGATGTCCGCATCCTCAAACTCGGCCCACGTGGGCGTAGGAAGCCTGATCGAGGCAGGGTACTCCTGGCGCCGGTATACCAGGAACTCGTCATCCGAAAGGACGTCGAGGCCGAGGAAATGTTTAAAGACCTCGTCGGCTCGGTGAGGTGGTGCCGGTCGAGAGGCCAGTTGAAGGCCAAGGGCGGCCGATCGTTGAAAGGCAGGAACCTCCGGCCGAAGGGTGGAAAAGTAAACCTGCAACCAGAGTTGGAACACCTAGAGGGGTCCATTCTGGTGTGGGTGAAACGCCAAGGAGCAACCACTAGCCAGTGCCTGGGCCACTGGCATGTTCTCGACCAGGCATTTGTTTGACCTGGTACAACAGATGAATTTGTTGTACCAGTAGAAGAGGAAGGCCTCGTGTTCTCCCTTCCTAAGGCCTTCCTCGCCTCGGCCGGCGAAGTGAAGAATGAGAGTGTTGTAGTTGAAGAAGTTCTTGTGGAGCTTCTGAACTTCTTCCCTTGAGGGCTCCCGATCACCACGACTTAGCGTCTCGACGACCCTTTCGTCGAATAATGCCTTCAGGTCGAGAGGAGAAGGGGCATCCCGAAAGGGCGGCATCAATGGGAAGGCCGGTTGGAGAAGTCCCAAGGATGGCCGAAATGTCGAGGACTGTGGGGCCGAGAGGGCCGAAAGGCAGGATCATGGTGTTGGTGGCCGAACACCATAAACTCAAGGCCGCCATGAGCAGCTCCTTATCCATGGCAATCTCCATGGTCGATAGAATAATGGCATCGTAGATACCAAGAGCCTTCCACTCCTTGCCAAAGAATGTGCTCATTCGGTCAACCCATGCGCCCAGGCCGTGGTGGTTGAGGGCCAGGCTCCCTGAGGCCGCGCCAGAGTCCACTTCGACCAGTCGAACCCCTGCAGCAGGGGTATTAAACACTACTCCTTGAGAAGAGTAGTGATAGACTGACGGCACTGCGTCTCTGAAAAGGGGACCCAGAATTTGGTGGGTAGTGGCCATGTCATTTGCAAATTGCAGCGTCTTGACGGCGCTCCGATCAATGAAATCCTTACATTTGCTGCACTTGTCAGAAAGCTTTGAGATAAAGGAGACCATTGATGGAAGAAGGGATTTGGAGTTAAAAAAGGAGGTTGCAGGAAGAAGAACTGGAAGGCTTTGTTTGAACGAACAGGAATGATAAAATTGAGATTTTGGAATTTCTGAAGGCGTGAGATGCGAATGACAGAAGTGTGGGTATTTATAGGCTTTTCAGAATGAAGATCAAACGTCTGGAATTCGAAAAGCACTGGTTCAAATTGGGGGGAAATTTAACCGGGAAAGGTTCCAATCATTTCGGATATTTTGGGAACGTGCGAAGATAGGATCGAGGGGTCGAAAATCCAGGACGCATGATTGCGTGCGGCGACGGTTTTAATGCATTAATTAGGATAAGACGCTTCAGTAAGTGCACGATCTCGAGGGCCATGATTGAAAGCTTTTAAGAGCGGCGGAGAATCGACACGTGGCTGTACGTTGGGGGCAACGAGGAGAGTGCAATCGTGTCTCATAAATGTGCAGGAGTAATGGTCATTAAGGAAGCAAAGTCCAAAAAGCAATAGGCGTTTCTGCTTCTTCAAGGCCGAGGCCCGACCAAAAGTTAACAGTCGGCAACCTCAGAAGCGAGGGGGCAATGTTTAGGCCCAAAATATTATTGTTGGTCCAAGCAGCAGGATGTGCTCCACCCAAGGTGATGACAAATACTATGGGCCGAATAATAAATCCCGGGCTAGTTGGCAGGGTCGGCCAAATCCTATCCTAAGTAGTCCGGATAAACAGAAAAGGTCGAGGAAGTCCTGGTACGACCAGGATTCCCGACCAGCTAAGAATAAAGCCTTGAAAGGAAGGAAAATTTAGAATCCCAGTAGGAGTAGGTTTGTTCAAGTTAGAGTTGAAATGGGACAAGGACTCCCAATCCGAATCAGAATGCGAATTGGTCTCAAGGAATGGGGTGCTATAAATACAAGAAATCATGCAACAGAAAAGCCCCTTCAAAAATCAGCATACAATTGCCCTGCGCAAAACCTCTCAAACATCTTGAGATTTTTCCTTTTCTTTTTCTGCCGACACACCTTCAGTTTGGATAAACAGCATTGTGAAGGCACCCGGCGAGCATCTTCAGTTTGGATAAACAGCACTGCTGCCACAGAATCAGCCGACCAAGAAGCACCTTCAGTTTGGATAAACAGCACTGCGTCGAGGTCGACCGGTTACCTATCTAAGTCTCGGCCGCGAAGGGTTTTCGAACCTTTGTTGGCAGAGGTCACCTTGCTAGCCTTCTCGGCATAGTCAGGTGTTACAAATTGCATTGCTCGGCGTACTGGATGCCGTGTGATTTTATGATTGGATACTCGCAAGTAAGTTTCAGGGTTCAGCATTCCGACGGCCGAACTACGTTTACCATCAAGACATACATCACATTCGAGTACCTGTGCCCATATAGTTTGGTCTCGATTCGGCGTGCTTATACTCTTACGAATATAATCACAGTGACCGAATCAGGATCCAAGGATTTGTGAACTCCGCAGAATTAGTAGCCTTGTCTTCAGGCTAGAGAACCCAGAGACCGAGAGCGTTCTTTCCTCGGTCGCAATCGCAAGATAGAGAAGTCAACGACGCGCTCAACGTGACATCAACAAATTTTACTCCTCGGCCAAGCTCGACCGACAAGTTGGTACGCCCCGCATTCAACCGAAGGACGTAGTTAGCTTGCTAGTTACTCGGCCTACGCGCCACGTAGGTTTTGTAATTTTTAGAGTCAACAGTAACACATTTAGATTCTTGGGTTCAAATTTTGGAAAAATAATCATTGATACATGAAAAAAATGTCGGAAAAATATGTTGAAAAGAAGATGAGTTGTTCATATTATTTGATTTGATAAAGTTTGGTAATACTCAATGGTCCACTTTGATGCTAGAGAGTGGTTGGCCATTTGGCTTGAACAGCAGAACATATGCGCTTCTGTGTAAATACAATACCAAAACAAAAAATGAACAAAAACTCTTTGAAAATTAACATCTCTTATTCCATACAATATATACAATATATATGAATAAATTGCTTACGGGTCTGACTTCAATATAACCCCACTCCTCTTCATCCATCTAGAATCCCAGCAGCTGCTACTGTTGTAGTTCCTGCAGCTGCTACTGCTATATTGAAATGGACTACCTTATATAGTTGATTTCACATTCTTACACACGACAAACCAAAAAACATCCAAAACATATCAATAATCTAAAAAAAGGCCAATTTAATACATATTCTCAAACAGGTGGTAAGCACTGATAACAGAAAAAATGAACAACCACTGTGAAAAATACACCCGAAGAGTTAGTGAAATTAGATATAGAACATGCAATCATTTATAAAACATCATGAATAAATAAAGGAAAACTTAACAACTCACCCTCACCGAAATCAATCAAACACTATAAATTTGCAATTAACAAAACAAACAGCAAAAATTCATAAAATCAAACACGCAAAAAAAATAAATAAATTAAAAAAATAAAATAAAATCAAACATGCAACAATATAAATCTATTAAACAGAAGTTAAGATAACATTAATGAATTTGACCTACTATTTTACTATATTCGATTTTTGGAATTTTGAGTGAATGAATAGCAAAAGAACATATAACAAAATAACAGAAGCGTACCCCATTAGAGGAAGCCGCCCAACCAACCGGCCAGAAACATCAGCAAAGGTACAGAGCCCCATTGCACTGAAGAATCAGAAGACCAAATCACTATATGAGCAACGCATATGAGAGGTAGAGAGAAGCGGAAAAACAAAAGGAAAAAGTGAGGAGAGAATGCAATGAAAACAAAAGAAAAAGCATTAAGGCCTCTAAATAGAATAGTTCTCGATGATCAACACGTGGAAGACAGAGGCTGAAAAATCAGAGCAAAACCAAAAAATAAAACAATCAGCCTCTGAACAGAACCCGCACAATGATCAACACGTGGAAGACAGAGGCCCAAAAAGCGGAGTATAACCAAAAATTAAAACAATCAGAGGCCAAGCAACAACATTTGTGGGACAGAGAGAAAAAATAATAATTAAAAAATTAATGGCGGGACAAACAAATTATTTAAAATATGGGAGTTAAATCAGGCCAAATGGTTTGTGGCACAGCAATCACTAAAAAACTATAAAAACCAAGAGAAAAGCACAGAAACAGAGAGAGTTACGAAAGTGTTGCAAATCATGCTATGATTAAATAGCAGTTTATTTGCCAATTTTATAATTTTTAAAACAAAATTAAATGGCGCTCTAAGACGGATCAGATTTATGTAAATTGGTAAACTTAGTTTTGATTATCTGGAGTAAGAATAATCATTTCCATCTTTTCTCTTTACAGGAATTAACTATTATCAATTTATATAGATACCTTCTTCTTCTAACTTATTGTGAATACATGGCTTATTATTTGTTTGTCTAGTGAAAGGTTTAAGGCCAATATTCAAAAGTATAAACAGACATCCTTTCACTAATGATAAATCCTGCCCATATTTTGTAAATCTGTGAAAGAACATATTAGATTAAAATATGTGGAGCGGGTATATCTCTAGTGCAAATGTCTACTTTTATACTTTTATCTCTAGTGAAAAGAAGCTAGTTTATATATATATATATATATATATATATTAGTAATAGCTAATTCGCCTAAAGAGAAAGCCTAGTAAAAATTGTAATTAAGTGTAGAACGTCAATAAAACAAAGTTAACAAAGTACTAATTAATTTTACATACCTTTGAATATTTGTGTCTTCATTGCTTGAAAATGTATTTGTCAACGTTGTAAATCCCTTGCTTGAATTAGCTTTTTTTTTTTTCCGAAAATTGTAAAATAAAGTGTTAAAAAAAGAGTGTATGGCACTTAATAAATAATATATAATAATTAGTTGAGATGGAATAATATATAATAATTAGTTGAGATGGATGGAAAAATGGAGTCATACATAGGATGAAAGAGCAAAAACTAAATTTGAATATAGGAAATAAAAAAACAATTTGTAATTCATTATCATGCATTGTTATCTATTTTATGCTAAACATAAAAGATAATGTCTATTAGTAAGAGTGAAGCTAGTGTTTTGGAATGGGTGTTCTAGACGCTAAAGAATTGAGAAACTGAGATTAAGAGCAATTCTGATGACGGAATTGAGAATTAATAGGTATGTAATTAAAAAGTTATCTTATTGCTAAGTTTGAATTTGACTAATGATAGGTATATATAATGAAATTTTTTTGCCACAAAATGAAATCTGAACAGAAAGCATGTAGTCAAGTGGGAAGCAATGTTAATTTGAAACAAAAAAAAGAATTCAAATAAAGATGAAATGCCAATTAAAACTTAAATGGAAAAAGGATGAAATAATGCCTCAACATACTATAAATGTTTCTCTAAAACTTAATTGAGAAGATAAAAACAGTGACCCACTTTTTGTTAACTAACATCTCTGCAACAGTTTTAGCATAAAAAAAATTTGCCTTGCTGGCTAAATTTTTCAGCTAATCAAATTGCTAAGCAGCATATATATAGCCAATAAATAAGATAAATTGGATATTTCATGTATACTTAATATATTAGAGTATAAAACTTAGACCAAATGAGCGACCTTTAGGCACTTAATCACATCAGGACATTATTTTAACAAAAACAGAAAAATATTGCATGAAATTTTTTTTTCTGCGGAAAAAAATAAGGAAACAGGGGAAAGCAAAAGCATTTCCCCCTATACATACTTGCTAAAAGTTACCATAGGAAACCACAACATATAAAAAAATTTACAACATATTGATAAAAAAGACCATGTGTCAAGACACTTTAGCTAACCATTTTCTGGGCATAAACAGAACCACCACTGACTAAATAATAATGTTCTGCAAAACTAACATAATACTACAACCGTAGAATAAGAATAAGTCACAAAAAAACATGACAATAACAGAAAGTAGAAAACAAAGAAAATTGAAAGGAAACCAAATAATCTCAACTAATTGAACACCTAATTTCTGTAAATCCAAAACTAATAGCTCCTTATACATAGTTGCCAACTTATTACAATAAACCACAGCAATGCATAAAAAGCTTTACAACACGTTCTAATTAAAATCTAAGGAAAAAAAATGTTAAGTTTTTTCCATTTTAAAATCGAAGAAACAAAACCCACAGATTTAAATAACCATGTGCATCTTACCCTCAAATGTTTCATAAGCACAAAAACTATCTAAGATGTTTTTCTCCCTTTGCAAATGCAACCTACAAAACAAATCAAGCAAAAAAAAAAAAAAAAAAAAAAAAAACGAAAGGGTAAGTAACAAAGCTCAAAAACCCTAGCACAAAAATGTCATAAACAGGATAAAAATGGCCAGCAAGTCTAACTACGACAGATAATAGTGTAAATGTTACTAATATAACTTGTCACACATAATAAACAACACTATTAAACTGGAATATTAATCCAGCAGATTTATATACCATTATAAATGATATCAAAATGAGCTGCAATACAAAGCAGTGAAGATTTATACCCACCAGATCCTTCTCACAGTCCAAAATCCAAATAAAGACTTCAAATCCATAAAATTACAATGAAATTAATACCATAATGTACCAAACAACTGTAAAAAATAAAATGCACCAAAGGCAAACATGAATTCAGCAGGCCAAATAAGCAAAAAGATTCATACCTCAATTGAATTTTGAACTTGATTCTCTCGCCAAAAAATCTTAATCTACAAAACCAAATTAGTTTTATTAATAATAAAGTAACACGATAATGCATCAAACAACATTGAAAAATAAAATCTAGTAAAGGTAAAGATAAATTCAACAATTTAAATAAGCGCAAGCATTGATATCTGAACTGAATTTGCAGGTTAATTTTGTCGTTTAAAAATTCTGATCTACAAAACCAAATCAGTTCTATTAACACCGATAAGTTAAGAATTGATATGAAAAACAAATCTATAATTGAGGCCTTAAAATATATTATAAGATCAATTAATACAAAGAAAGAATCAGTACCACACTCACAACCTTATATTTTCACCAGTACATATGCATATTGCTCCAGGTTGTTAAATCAGATCTTAAAGACCATGTTCCTAACACCAGAACTAACGACTTGAGATTCATATGAATTATAGCCAAGCCAAACCAAACCATTTAGGTTGTCAATAATGCCCAAATAAGCAGTTTAGCTTGGTTTCTTGAGTAGATCAGGTTAGTCAGGTTGCTGAAGAAACAACTACACACCAATTCTCAAACTGCACAGCTACTAAATTACAATAGTATTGTATCGATGACTGAAAATGATCTCTAGAGCATCTAGGTACCTAGGCTTTCAATTAAAAAACTTATCCAATTGAATTCAATTAAAAAAAATGATCTCTCAGATGAGTTATGACAGAAAACATACCAAAGGCAGTGGAAGCAGTACGTCGATGTCAGACATGAAACTTAGCTGATTCAACTAAGCGGGCCTGCTAACCAGAATGCTCAAACCTGGATCATATTTAAAAAGAAACCCATAAATCATCATGATCTCAATTAAATATAATCAAGATAAGAACAACATAACAGCCACAGATCACATAATCGAAAAGAAATTTCGCAAGTCATCCACAATAATCAAAAGCTAAATTAAACCCAAAAATTAATCATGATCATCCATTTGTATTGCTGGAAATGTTTAGCCCTTAATTAAAACACCAAAATAAAAAATTCCTCACTCACAGTACAAAACCGAAACATACAAAGCAAAACCCAAAAATTAATCATCATTATTCCTCTTTTTTTTTCATTTTTTTTTTAATTTTGAGGGAAAAATCGAAGCACAAACAATCAAAAAACCCAAATAAAAAAAAAAAACAACAAAGAGATAAATTATATACTTGACCCAGAAAAAGCTAGGAAGAATAAAACCCTAAAACTCAAAGAAAAATGTTTCCTGCAACCAAAATACAAAATTAGAGATAACAACAAGACGTAGAGCGCGAAAAAACAAAGAAAACGCTGGGCCAAAAAGCCAAATAGCCCAAATTCACAACAATCAATCATAAAATTCTCTTCCTAACCAAACAGAAAATAAACCAACACATGAATCAACATACCTGAACGGGAGCGATTCGTTTGTGCAAAACAGGGGAAAAAACGCCAAACACCTTCGAGAAGATCCGATCGGAACCGAAATCAAAAGACAGACGGGAAAACTAAAGAGAAACGGAATGACAGAAAGAAAACAGAAGAGGAAAAGAAAAAGTCGAAGATGCTTCCGACATCTTTACTATAAAACACAACGTGGCCAAAGCTCAACCAAAAACACCAAAAAGCACCTTTCAAATGAGAGCAACAGCTGCAAACAAAAATGAAAGAGGGGCAAAATAGACAATTTACTGCAGTGCCCACCAAAGTCCAAAAACCATAAATAAAATGAGGGTTAAAACCGGATGGGCACTGTTAATGAACAGTACCCATCCGTTGAGCTTTAGTATATATAAAATAAAATGTTGAGGTTCTATCCCAAACCAATTAGAAATGAGAAGTTTCTTGAAAGTCGTTGCAAGGTTTATTAAATCTCCGATGTAGGACTCTCCCTTTCACATCCACACAAGCGAAAATTAGAATATTATTTGGCCACTAAGTACATGAGCTTTCCATAGATGTGTTTGTTGACGAATATTTAGATTGTTCTTGATTTACGATGATTCAATTAATTGGCTGACTTGTGGCTAATATTATTGAGATATATATGATATGTATATCTTACATGTGGTATCAGAACTGATAAAATTTAGACCATTGAAATCATAAATCTTGTTCAAGATCAAATTTCCATCTAAATTCCAAGCTTTTGTCGAACCCAGAAAGAATTAAAGGAAAGACATCGTTTACAACTCAAAACGACACCGTTTAAAAAAAAAAAAAAAAAAAAGGGGGGGTGCGAAAGAGACGTCAGTGGTTTATTAAATTTTTTACTGTTATTTTCTGGGTTTTTGGTTTCTTTTCTTTCTTGCTTTTGCTAAAAGTTGTGACGATTGAGAAGTTTTGTTTCTTCTTTCTCTTGACCACGACAATCCTCATTAACATTCAAACAAGAATATGCAAGTGCTGAAGGTACGTTTTGTTTTCTAATTCTTCAAAACTTTCGTTAAATAATTAGTTGTAGATTAGGAATTTTGGAATTTGACAGCAACATTGAGATGATTTAATTTGTTTGTAGATAACATCTGCAATTGAATATTGCTGAATCCAAATCGTTATTTTCTAACAAATATTGAACTTAAGTTGTAAATATAAATTGCTTCCATTGCTATAAATTAGTGTATGTTGTTGGTTTCATTGATACTTTCTGCAGAAATTGGATACATGTAATGAATGGCCTAAGAAATTCTTTCTCTTGGACATGGATCGGATCTGTGTTTGTAATTCCTTGTGAATTGTTTATTCTGTAAGTGCCTGATCTAAACATGTTCAGTGACTATATATGATTAAATTGATTCACATTCAGAATTAAAAGTATTGGAATTGATAGAAATCAAGAATCTTGTTAGATTCAAAGTCTTGATTTCATTGCTGTCATTCTGCATTTTCACTTAAAACCATCAACTTGGCTGCCGTGCTTGTACTCAATGGTGGAAGCAATTATAGAAAGTGGAGGAGAGAAATTGAGTTGCTTTTGATACTAAATAAGTATGACATAGCACATCAGCTCTTACTGGCAAAAGTACCAAAGCTGAAAAGGTGGAGTTTGAATGAAGGGCTAGAGCAAACAAAGTTGCACTTTCAATATTGGAAAGTGGCATGACTGACACTGTGCGTGGGGGTATTAAGAAATGTGATCTTGCAAAAGATTATCTCATAGCAATTGGGAACAAGTTCAAGGAACTTCAAAATGTTGAAATAGCTTAGTACATGACTCTTCTCACCACTTACAAGTTTGAAGGAGGAGGATCAATCATGGATCATATAATGAAGATGACTAATGCAGCTGAGAAACTAAATTCATTAGATATGAAGTTTTGTGAAAAGCAGCTTGTGTTCATGATACTGCAAGCATTGCCCTTGAAGTTCAGTCAACTAAAGGTCCCTTACAATACTCAAGGTAAAACGTGGATGGTGGATAAACTTATAGCTCAATGCGTGCAAGAAGAAAACCGACAAAACCAGGACAAAGGCAAAGAAGCTTATCAATTTGTGCAATCAACCAAAGGAAAGAAGGAGTTTAAAGCAAATTCGGGTAAAACTTCTAAATCCAACTTCTCTGATAAGTCTATTATATCTGCTAAAAGTTCCAGTTCCTCTAAGTCTAACAATTTTAAGAAGAAGGCTAAGAATATTAATAAAATTAGATGTCATCACTGCAAAACCAAAGGACACTGTAGAAAAATTGTGAAATATTCAAGGGTTGCTTGAGGTCAAAGGGTAGAACTGATGTTTATATCTGTGAAGAATCGAATCTCATTGAAATTCCCGCAAACTCTTGGTGGTTTGATACTGGTGCATCTATCCATTTAATTAATTCATTGCAAGGTTTTAAGAAACAAAAACAAACAAATTGTTATAATGTTTTTGTGGGTGAGGGAACCAAGGTTTCAGTTGAAGCTGTTGGCACTGTTAGACTCAAATTTGCAACTAATTTTGTGTTACAATTGGATTATGTTCTTTATGTGCCCTCAATGAGGAGAAATTTGCTTTCTGCTGGTTAGTGTTTCTGCGAGTACATGAGCATTCCATAAATGCGTTTGTTCACTAATATTTAGATTGTTCTTGATTTATGGTGATTCAATTGGCTTACTTGTGGTTAATTTTATTGAGATATATATGTTTATATGTATATCTTACAAATAATAGTATTGCAATTTTAATAGCAGTGAAGTACTGGTAAACCAAGGTGTAATCGAAGTGGAGCTTATAAGTGTAGGTTTCACGTACCCTTGTTTAGTATTCCCACTTCTAGATGATTTGATGCTAGAACTTGTGCAATGATGATTACTAAAATGTACGTATTTTATTTTAATTTTATTTTTTGAAAACTTTGACGGTACATGGAGAATTTTACTGATATAAAAAAATAAGGTACACCTCATAATACCACAAAAAAGGAACATGAAAAAGAAGAGGAGATATAAACTTAACCCCTTATAATACAACAAAAAAGGAACAGGAAAAAGAAGGGTTGGCATAAACCTTACCCCTCTAGAAACAAAAATAACAAAGATACAAAGAAAAAGAGGGAGGGGGGGGGGGGAGACATGAAACCTAACCCCTTTAAAGCCGAACCTAAAGGTCTAAACCTGCAAAACCAACCAGCAACATGACAAGGTTAAGAGAAAAAAATTAAGAATGTAAGACAAACCAATATGCTGAGATGCATATTAAGTGGAGAAGAGGAAGCCAGGAATGCCAGCATAGTCTGAAAACAAAGCAACATGAATCGTCAACGGAGGGGTATCATGCTATACTAAAGTTGGAAAAAAATATGGGCTTTTTAGCCAAAATGGTCCCTGAGATTTGCATAACACATCACTTTGGTTCTTGAGATTGAAAATCAATAGAAATGGTCCCTGAGATTGTCCACCATCCATTATTTTGGTCCTTCTGTTAAGTGGTCATGGAGCTCATACCAGAAACTGAGATTTTTGGCCGGAAGTTTGGGCAATTTTCAAAGCTTCATAACTCAATCGTTTCTTAACCAAATTCGACCGATAATATATCAAAACGAAGATAGGAAAGTGTTGAAAAAGATTATACCTATTTGGAAGCCCAATGGTTGCCGAAGATGGTCGGAAAATGGCCTGAAAGGTGACTGGTTCGTAGGAAAACTGGAAACCTCGTCGAAAACTCTGTAAATTTTAATCGTTCATAACTTTTTCAATACTCAACGAAATTGAGTGATTCAATAACAAAAATCATACTTTACGATGAGATAAAGAGAATGGTACTTTTTCAATGGCTAAATTGCCATGGTTTGGCTGAAAAACGGCTCGAAATTGGCTAACTCGATGAGATTAAGACAGCCAATTTCGAACCTTTTTTTGGCCAAACCATAGCAAGTTAGCCATGAAGAAAGGTATTATTCTCTTCATCTCATTGAGAAGTATGATTTTCAGTTTTGAATCACTCAATTTTGTTGAGTATTGAAGAAGTTATGAACGTTTAAAATTTACCCAGTTTTCAGCGAGTTTTCTAGCTTTCCAGCGGACCAGTCACCTTTCAGGCTATTTTCCGACCAAAAGGCAGTGAGTTAACCTTTTGAGAAAGGTACCGTTCTCTTTGTCTCGTTGAGAAGTATGATTTTCGTTGTTGAATCACTCGATTTTGTTGAGTATTGAAGAAGTTATGAAAGTTTAAAGTTTACCCAGTTTCTGGCCAGTTTTCCAGTTTTCCCGCGGACCAGTTACCCTTCAAGCTATTTTTTAGCGATCTATTTCATTATAAACATTTAAAGTTTACCCAAAACATCAAAAGAGCCAAGGCCTATCAAAGGGAGGAAATAAAGCCCCGAAGCACCCTAACCTCGCTCCTAGGTCCCCAAACTTCAAGAAGAAGGGCAAAGCACCTAAAATAATGGATGCGAATATGTGCTATCGCTGTGGATCAAAGAACCATTGGTCCCGTGTTTGTCGAGCTCCGCAGAAGGTTGTAGCTAAATATCATTCTTGTCGTAAGAAGTTTGAATCAAACTTTATTCAAGTGGACGAACCGGAGAATTCGAAGATGGAGGTTTCTGACTTTCAAGAGGCTATCACACCTATGGAAGATTAGAATCTTAGACATAAAGTATTTTTTTTAGTTGAAATAAGACCATGAGGCCTAATTCCACAGTAGTGGCCGAACCCCCTTATGTTTTTTGGTTAATTTTGAACAATTTTCCTTTATGTTTGGATTATTTGTTAGTGATTTGTTTTTTGGATATTCAGTTTTTACTTAATTTCCATTTTTGAATACTTAAAATTATTTTGAATGGATATTTGTTTTTAAGAACTTTTATGCATGTGACCGAATCAAATTAATTTTCATTCTAGGAATGACTAGTGGGGAAGTTAGTTGTCTGGCCAATAGTACAACTACGCAAACTTTTTTGAGTGAACACATCTATTTCACTAACTTCATACCTAAGAATGCACCTTTGAATATCCTGTCAGGCCCATCCAACCTGATCGAAGGATACGATAAGGCACGTATAATGTTATCCAATGGTACAATCTTAACCATTGATGAGGCACTTTATTCTCCACGTTTCGAAAGAACGTTGTTGAGCTTTTAGGGACATTAGAGATAAGAATTATCATGCTGAAACCCACATAGAAAATGGAGTTGAATTTATATGCATAACTTCCTACGAATATGGCCAGAAGCATATTCTAGAAAAGATGGAGCATATCCCGAGTGGTCTGTATACTATGACCATACGCCTCATAGAAAGCCACTATGTGGCCAACCCTACCTCTGGGACTGCGCACACACTTTGGCATGAACGTTTGGCACATCCTAGACGAATAGTGATGCGTCGTATCCTCAAATCATCACATAGGCATCCACTAACCTGGAGTTTAGGTTCAATTCAAGGAATCACATATCAAACATGTTATATGAGAAAGCTTATTACTAAGCCTTCTTATGACAAGATTCGTTCGAATCCTCCCATTTTTCTATAACAGATTCATGGGGACATTTGTGGACCGATTCACCCTTCATACAGACCATTTAGATATTTTATGGTTTTGGTTGACGTTTTCACATATTGGTCACACGTGTGCTTGTTGTCCAAAAAAAATGCTGCATTCTCCAAACTATTAGCTCAGGTTATCAAGCTCAAGGCTCACCACCCTGATTATTCGATCAAATCTATTCGATTGGATAATGCTGGAGAATTCATATCTAAAACTTTTGATGACTAGTACATGTCGGTTGGGGTTAAAGTTGAACA